GATCCCAAGAAGGGGGAAGAATTATATCTGTATACTCAAGAGTTTTTTCTTCTCTCCTCCCTTATCTCCTCTCTCTCTCTCTCGCTCTCGCTCTCTCTCTCTCTCTCTCTCTCTCTCTCTCTCTCTCTCTCTCTCTCTCTCTCTCTCTCTCTCTCTCTCTCTCTCTCTCTCTCTCTCTCTCTCTCTCTCTCTCTCTCTCTCTTTCGCTCCTTCTTTTCCTCCCTCTTTCTCCCCTCCTTCGTGTGAATCTCCCCGGCCTTTCCTTATAATCCTAGGTCTTCTTAAGGGCTTCGGAAGGATGTGAATGAGATAAGAGGAATAAAAATGCGAGAAAGAAAGGTAGAAAGAGGTAAGAGAAATAACAAAGGATTAGGGAAGGGATAAAGAATACGCGACGAAAAAGACGGTTCAGGGAAAATATAAGATGGGATTTAGGAAATAACAAAAAAGGGAAGGGAGTTTTAGAGACGTAAGAAATCCATGAAATGTGAATATTAAGATTGCTACAAAAATAGAGAGAGAGAGAGAGAGAGAGAGAAAGAGAGGGAGGGAGGGAGAGAGAGAGAGAGAGAGAGAGAGAGAGAGAGAGAGAGAGAGAGAGAGAGAGAGAGAGAGAGAGAGAGAGAGAGAGAAAGAGAGGGAGGGAGGGAGGGATAGAGAGAGAGAGAGAGAGAGAGAGAGAGAGAGAGAGAGAGAGAGAGAGAGAGAGAGAGAGAGAGAGAGAGAGAGAGAGAGAGAGAGAGAGAGAGAGAGAGAGAGAGAAAGGGTTATTAATGAGAATAAATATCTAATTGATTTATTTAACAGATTTCGACAATATCTTCACCGTTATACATTATTTTGTATTTCCGACGGAAGATTTAACGAATAAATGTGATGGGAAAATTAACGCTACGACGCATTTAGCAAAGTTACGAACGAGAATGAATATCATATGAATGTATTTAACTTATTATAACTATATCTTCATCAGACATATTTGAATACGGTTTTGTATTTCTGATACAGGAAAAGTTCTAGAAATATGACGAATAAAGGAGGTGGGAAAAGCATCACTGCAACGAATTTAGCAAAACTACGAATGAGAATAGATAACCTATAAATGTATTTGGCCGGTTTCGATTAAGTAGAATTAATGAGATGGGAAAATGAACTTTGCAACTAATGTAGAAATGTTCATGAATGAAAATAAACATCTCGAAAATATATCAAACCGGTTTCGACTGTATCTTCATCGGAAATACATGAATAGAGTATTTTTTTATTGAAGATATTAACAAAACCGACCAAATGCATTTTCTTGTGTTGTTGAAGTTATTTATCATATATTTTTTTTCCCTCGAGATGGGAAAATCAAGAAAATATGATTCTGAAACAAAGAAATAATGAATAGATTTGTTCAATATATGGAACACGCGAGATTAATTAAGATATCATTAAAGAAAGAATAAATAAACTAAAAAAAAAATCAAAACTAAAAAAAATAATAAGTTTAAAAGAAAAAAGGAAGAGAAAAAGAAAGAAAAACAAAGAAAGAAAAAGAAAAAAAACACAAATAAAAGAAAAAATACAAAAATACAAAAAATAAATAAATAAATAAAACAAGAAGCAAGAAAAAAATAACACATATATATTACAAATTAACGTAACCTCGTCCCCCCCCCCCACCCTTCACCCTCCTACCTAATAAGTGTGAGGTGCCAGTGTGACTCGCTGTGGCAGGAATGAACTGGGGTTTTTCTACGTTAGCGACATCTCGCGTTACTAGGGAAATAGTGTCGAGTGTACAGTGCAGGTTTTGCTTCTGTCCCACACAGACAGATAGTCTTTAGGGGGTTTGTTTATTTCTGTATCTGTCTGTCTGTCTGCATGTCTGGTTTTGATTTCGAGTTGTTGTTGTTGGTTTTTTGTTGTTGTTTTATTGTTTTGTTTCACTTTTTTTTTCTTTTTCTTTCTTTTTCTTTTTATTTCTTCTCTATTTCTCTTTCTAATTCTTCTCTCTCTCTGTCTCTCTCTGTCTCTCTCTGTCTCTCTCTCTGTCTCTGTCTCTCTCTCTGTCTCTGTCTCTCTCTCTCTCTCTCTCTCTTTCTTTCTTTCTTTCTTTCTTTCTTTCTTTCTTTCTCTCTCTCTCTCTCTCTCTCTCTCTCTCTCTCTCTCTCTCTCTCTCTCTCTCTCTTTCTCTTTCTCTTTCTCTTTCTCTTTCTCTTTCTATCCCCCATCTCCTTCCCTCTCTTCACCTCCCTCTTGCCTTCCTTCCGCTCTACCTACCTATTTATCTACTTATCTGTCTATACTTATTCTTCCCTCCCTTCCCCCTTCTCACACCCACTCCTTCCTCCCCTTTTCCTTTCCGTCTTCCTTTTGCCTATCCTTCATCTCCCTCCCTCTTCCTCTCCCCCTCCCCCTCCCCCTCCCCCTCCCCCTCCCTCTCCCTCTCCCTCCCTCTCCCTCTCCCTCTCCCTCTCTCCCTCCCCCTCCTTCTCCCTCTCCCTCTCCCTCTCCCTCTCTCCCTCTCCC